GGGGAGGGGGGGTGTTACCAGGATTCACGTACACACGAGTGCACACACACACGTACTACGTGTACACAGGCGCAGCCAAACCCCTCCAGTGAGACTGGAAAACCGGGCACTGGGGGTCAGCACCGCAGCTCTCTGCCTGGGGAAACTGAGGCATGGAGGGGCACTGCAGTAGGGCCAAGGGGCAGGAGCCAGCGGCACTGGGAGGTGGAGGCAGGTGCGAGGGGGGTGTCCCTCTTCTAAGGAAGACTGGAGTGTCCCTCTCAGTCCCCTTTTCTGTCCCACCAGCCCCAGAGGACACCTTGGCCCCAGGCAAGGCCACCCCTGCCCACCGCCATTCCCACGAGGTGCTCAGCCAGCCCAGTGTCCCCTTGCCAGTCTGACTGGGGACCATCTGTCCCTGTGTCCCCAGCAAAGGGGCTGCTACAACTCCCCAAAAGTCAGCCCGTTTCCCTCCTTCCAGGCTGATCTGCCCCCATGCCAGCCCCCAGTCCTGGCTTTCCCAGCATGGCACTGGAATGGGGACTGGGCTGGGGACTGGGAGCCCGCAGGGGGGTGGAAGCAAAGCAATGCCTCCATCTGCTGGAGGGAAGGACAAGGACCCTGGACCTCTGCACCCCGAAATTCCACACCCCACGGCTCCCCCGGGACCTGGGGCGGCTGCCAGCACCTGCATCACCAGCATGAAGGAGGGTGGCCCTGGTTGCAAAATAACTGGGGTGCTGCCAGCGCCCTGGGCCTCCTGCAGCCCCCCGCAGCCAGGGCAAGAGCTGTCATGGGAGTAAAAGAGGAAATTGGGGCTTTTCTCTCATTTCCTGCACCAAAAAAAAAAAAAGAATATTGCATGGCAGAAGAGTGCTCAGGAGGTTAAGGGCTGGGGTTACACTTTGCGCCTGTGCCGCAGGGTCGGGGTGCGCCGTGGCCTCGGGGACACCGGTGGGAGCCAGGGCTGAGCCCACCCTCTCCTGCGGCAGCTTTTGGGGGATGAATGTTGCCAGGAGCGAAGACGCTGAGAAACCAGCTCAGGTGGTTTTGGTGCTCGCTGTGCCCAGCCCCTGTGCCCACACAGGCCCAGCAGTGCCGCAGGTATCAGCCCGACCTGCCCTGAGCCAGGAACGGAGCATCCCCGCAGCAGTGATGTATCGAGAATAATGTCAGGAAAAAAAAAAAAAAAAAGCCAAAAAAATAAAGACAATTAGAAAAATTTTCCAGCAAGTGCATTTAAAGATCGTATCTGCTGCTGGGAAGAGAAACCAATTTCCTTACAAACTAAAAAGACTGGATAAGTAAAACTTCCCTGCATCAGTTCCCCAAATCCCAGCCCTGCACAAAGCGGGGGACAAAGGGCTCAGCACCCCCTGGACCAGAGACTGCAACCGCCTTCCTGCAGCTGCTTCATCAGCCCGGGACAGGCAGAGGAACCCACCGATGGATTCAGGGGTGCCCCGTGGCTTGGAGAAGGAAATTACCATTTGCTTACTAGTCCTGCAGGGCTTAGCAATATAAAATCGCAGCCCTTTTTAAGGGCTTGGCTTGCTTTTAAAGTTGGCGTTGTCTCCTTCATTGTAACAAGAGGCATCAGGAAATTTGCAGCCAAAACTTCTGCGAAAGGCAATTTCTTTGCCGGAGCTCCTCCGGGCTGGTGCCACCTCGCTCTAGCTTGGTAGGGTCGGATTCATCGCGTTAATTCTGTAATTTTATTCCTAATGACCTCCAGTATATCTTGAAGGTAACAAGACTCATTAGGGAAAAATATTGATGCTTCTAATAGATTTGCTGTTGCTTAAAACAGTTTGTAGTACAGTCGTTAACATCAATGACTTACTGGGACGAGGGACATACCTACACTGACCCCAGTTGCTAAGCACCATCAATAAGCCCAGGATCCTGCTGAATCTTAAATGCTCCATTTATATTTATTTTTACAGCGTTACAGCCCGAGATGACGTGTTGAGGGAGCAACCCAAAGCCAAGGCTCACTGCCGGGCAGGGATGGGCCGCCGCGGCCGGGGCGCAGGGATGAGCAGATCCAGCAGCAAAGCTGGCAACAGCGTGGGAAGGACCGTGCGGGAACCAGCGCAGGTTGTCATCTCCCCGAGTCTTGCACATCCTCGCCGAGCGAGTGCCGGATTCATTCATGACTCAGCCCCAACACATATTTTTATCAGCTCTAGCATACGGCCTCGGCACCGCAGAAACGGCCCTCGGTGAGCGCCTGCGGGTCAACAGACACAAACCTACCGGTTTGCTGGGTGCGGGTTTGGAAATAGGGATTGTAAAATACACGATGAGGAAACCGTGGAGGAGAGCGGGCTCCTTGCAGGGGGGTGGCTTCAGGGTCACAAGGCACCCGCCGAGACCCAGACTGGCCCCCCCAGCCCTGGAGAGGCAGCTGGTCTCAAGGGTGCCCAGGTTGCTGCGGGGGATGCGCGGTCCACATCAAACGGTGAATGTAGGGTGGGTGTTTCCACTTTCTTCATTCAAATCCACATCCCCCGAAGCTTGTTTGTCCCCAGCCTTGGTGCTCCCGGGAGAAATCCCTGGCGCTGGCTTCCCGCAGCTCTCAGCAGAGGGACTCACCCACCCAACCAGGCCAATTGCTAACGAATGCTGTTGGTTAGTTGCTAATTATTTCAAGGACCTAATAGAAGGGAGGAGATATTAAAATATTTTTGAGTTTTTAGAGGGCTAAAAGAGCAACTTCATCCTACAGGGGACAGACACTGATGGGACTTATTTTTATCAGCTGAGTCATGTCACTTCATGCTCTCTCAGCGCTTGTAAAGCTCTGGAAGTGAAAAAAAAAAAAGTGTCTTCAAGTGACTGGGCTCCTCTTGCACAGTGGCAGCAGGAAATCCCAGAAAACATACTGAAGAAAAAAAAAAAAAAAATTCCACCTCACCACCAAGCCATCTAGAGTAACATTACCTGGAGAGCAGGAAATTAATGAGGTAATTTGGGGTGGGCTACCATGGAAATCCTCCCTTCAATACAGCCGCCATCCAGAAAGCAGCCCGGGAGGAGGAGTGTGAAGCCTTCACAAGCAGCTCGGAGGAAGCGAACCCATTGCAACAGGTTGTACCGAAGGCATTGCAATTACTTGCAATTAGTTGCAGGAGCCTCCACAGGCAGCGTGTGGCCCCAGAGCCGCACTGGGGGCTGCCGGGGAGCGCGGCCAAGCCTCCGGCTTCCTTTAGACTTGCGACAAGCAGGGTTTGAAAGAACATCCTTCTGCGAGCGGGGTTGCAGCAACTTGTGCAAGGCGGTTCCTGGTAGTGCCATGGCCGGAGGAGCCCAGGACAGGGAGCGGGCGCCGCTGCCGAGCCAGGAGATGGAGTCGGAGCCCCCCAGACCCCCACCGCTGCCAGGGAAAACTCAGAGGTAACAAACTGCTCTGCAAACGGGGCCCAGACAGGAGCTTCCCGGCAGCACCCTGGCAAGGCTGCTTCAGCCCGACGCTTTGCGCCGCAGCCAGAGGCAGAGCAATAATTCTTGGCTCCCTGGGGGGAACGGGGGCTGAGCTGGGCCAAAGAGGGGCAAAGCCTGGAGTTGCGCAGTGAGTGATGTCCCCAGAGAAACGGGCATTTTTAGAGAAAGCCACCCTGGTTTCAGTACCGCTTGGGGCAGCAGGGGCAGAGCTGCAGGTTTGCACCGAGCTTGGCCAGGACGGGGAAGTGAAACCCCAGCCAGGGCTGGGGACGGCTCCTTCCCGCCGCTCTCCTCCTTACAGGCTCTCTGCTTTTCCCTCCCCATGCACAGACCCCCCGGCCTGTCCCCCAGCCCTGGGCTGGGGATGTCGAAGGCTTTTCCTGCGCTCATCCCACACTCCTCCCACCGTCGTGTCCTCGTGGCCACCCAACAGGGACCGCGGGGCAGTCGTGGACCCATGTGTATGTGAAGCCCCTGAGGCAGCCCCCACCCCTCAGGAGTGGGAACACCCCCAATGCAGGAACTGGAATCACTGGGCGGCCAAACTCTGTCTTTTGCCCCAAAACCACACAGCCAGGGCTCCCCAGGCCTCTGCTTCCCCTTTCTCCTTGTTCTTCCCCTGATCCGGCCCCACAAGGAGCCGGAAGCCCCCGGGGGGGCGAGCGCTGACTCCCAGCTCCGTGCAGGGCCGTCATGCAGGCACGGGGCAGCATGCGTGCCCGCTGCAGCAGCCTGGACCTGGGTGCCCACGGACCGTCTGCCCCCATGCCGGACACCCCGAGGGGCTGCCCGCCTCGACCCCCCAGCTCAGACCTCATCTACAGTAACGTGGGTGAGTGACACCCTGACACCCTGCCCTCCTCCCTGCCGAGGTGCCAGCTCGGACAGCGGGACAAACCCCACTGCTGTCCCTGTCCCCCTCCTGCAGTACCTATCCCCCTCCAGCTGGCATTGGGCATTGCTTTGGGGCTGGAAATATGCAGTGGGGCAAATAAATAACAACGTGCTTGTACTCCCATCCTGCCCCATCTCCCACTTTCTTCCCCACACCCTTAGGAAAGTCTCAGCCCTGCTGTGTCTGTTCCTCCCTCCCCAGGAGAGCTGCGGGCCCACCTCGTCCCCCGCAAGGCTAGCAGAGGGGAAGGAGCTGGGAGACCCCCCTCTCAGCCCGACCGGGACCACCTGCCTCCCCCATTGCCAAAAAAGCAGCTCCAGCGAGCAGAGTCCCTCCCGGAGCAGGGGCCATCGCAGCGCTGTCGGGGTGACCCCACACGATGGGCTGGCAGCATCCCACCACCCCATCTGCGGCAGGAGGAGGGGGCTCCCAGCTCGATCCCCCCACGGGACAGACCCTCCTGGGGACCCAAGAAGCCTCTGACCAAGTCCCAAAGCCTGGAGGACCCGGCGGCCCGGAGCAGCCCGCAGAAACCCCCGTCAGCCGGCAGGACGGAGCTGACGTTCAGGACGGCAGATGGGGAGCTGGGGCAGCTCCTGGAGAGCCCGGCTGGGGTGTGCGGGGTGATGTTGGCGTGCCAGGAGGCCACGCTGGCCCGGCTCTCGGCTCGCATGCAGGAGGAGCTGGTGGGGCCGGAGGGGCGGCAGCAGCTGCTGGAGGCAGAACTGGCTGGGAAGAGCTGGGCAGCGCTCAGCATCCTGGACCGGGAGCCATGCTGCCAAAGTGGGGACGCCTGGTATTTCCGCGTGGGCTTCACCTTTGAGCAAACCCCGCTGGTGTTTGCTGCCAAGGTAAGCAGGGAATCGGGGAAAATGCCTCGGGTGGCGCAGAGCAACCTGAGGGCTCCTGCAGCACAGGGGGCTGCAGTGCTGCAGGCAAGCATGAACTGGGAGCTTGGGCTTTTCCCCTGACGCCCATCACGCAGACGCTTCCCCTTTTTGCATCTACTTCTGCATTTGCTAAATGAGACGGTGCTGCTGGTGCAGGCCGGGGAGGCGAGGGCGACAGCTCCCACGGGTCCGAAGGACACATCGAGAACGGCACCGCTGGGGGAGATGCCCTGGCAAGCGCTCTCGAGGGGCCAGCAGACACAAAGCAGAGGCTGGAGCAGAGCTGGCCCCTCAGGCAGTGCAGGATGAGACCCAGCAAAGCAGCTTTGCAGCTCCCCTGGGGGTTACACCCCCACCCCCCTTTTTCCCATTTCTTGCTCAAAGCCATTCTGGTGGGTGCCAGTGGGTTCAGAGGGTGCGTGGGTCAAACCAGCAGCTGGTGGCCCTGAGCTGAGGCAGTGGCCCAGCCCAGGATGAGGCACATGGTGACTCCGTCCTCATGCAGCTGGCCATGCCCTGTCTCTCCTTGCAGGTCCCCAAGCTGTGCTGCACCAGTTTGGGGGTGCAGAGCTCCCTCGGGGCACACTGCAGCATCCAGAGCCTGATCGGCCGCTTCAACAACCACCTCCCTTGGGAGCTGGCGCTCTCAGGAAGCCCCGGGGAGCAGAGACGTTCCCCTTCCGGAGAGGAGCCAGCCTGTCCTGCCCACCAACCCATCCCGCAGGTCCTCATTTCTCCCGAGGTTCCCTACCAGACCCTGGCGGGCTTTGTGAAGGGATCCCACGGTTTGCACAGGGCCAGCCCTGGGCACTACGAACGCCTGGCTTGCCTCCTCCTCCTGCAGGTGTGCACGGGGCTGGAGCATCTCCGGGTACAGAATGTGGGGCAGGGGGACCTCCGCCCGGAGAACCTGCTGCTGGTGCAGTGCCCTTGTCCTCCCCGGAGCCAGCAAGGCAAGGAGCCATCTCTGGGGCTGTCCCTTCCAAGGCTGCTCATCAGCAGCTTCTTCAAGGTTAAAGACAAACAAAGACCTTGTTCTACCAGCCAAGAGCAGGACTGGACCAAGGGGCTTGCTGCACCACCCTCCCCGGTGGCAGATGAGCTGAATGTGGGCATGCTGATCTATCAGATCTTGCATGTGGACATCTCTCTAGAGAACATCTTGGGGTTCAGAAGCAACAGACTTCCTGAAATCCCCTCCCTGTCCATCTATTCCACGGGACTCAAGCGTCTGGCCATGCTGCTTCTCCACAGAGATCCCTGCAAGAGGGTCTCCATCGAGCAGGCAAGGAGCATCCTGCAGGTCCTGCTCTGGGGGCCTCGCCAGGAGCTCTTCGCCAGGAGCAAGAAGACCCTCACCCTGCTTCGGAGCTGGGTGGAGGTGAAGAGGACTCTGCTGCTCCTGAAGTTTGCAGAGAATTGGGCTGGGGCAGTGGGGAGCCCCAGCCTCGAGGAGTGGCTGTGCTGCCAGTACTTCAAGGACATCACCGAACACGCACTCTACCAAGTCACCCAGGCTCTCTACACTCCCTAAAGGCAAGCTGAAGTTCAGCCCACCCAAAAGGTCTCCTCAAAGCCAAGAGCCCATGAGGATGTGGCCAAATCCACCAGCTCACAAGGAACGAGGTTGGTCCTGGCTGGGAAAACTCAAACCCACTTCCCCCACAGCACGAGAATGATGAAGCTGGGACCAAACTCCCACAGCGTGGAGTGTGTTTGTGTTTTTATACCCTTGGTCAAATTTTGTGTGATACTGTGAGTCCAGTTTATCGGAGCATCTCAGGAAAGACAGCTGGGTGGAAGCCACAGGATCAAGCACTAATTTAGTGGCTGATTAACCCAAGCTTATGGGGCTTAGACTTTGCACAAAACCCCCTCAGACCCCTCCCGGGGCCTTCACTGTTTTAAATAATAATGCAAAGCCACACGTTAGAGCTCACCTTAATGCACCGTTAGCAAGGGAGATGTACAATACCACGTACAGCCTGCTCTTTTTAGAAACACTCCCTGGCGCAGTCACAAACATAAATGACATTTTAAAGGGGGAAATACAGCACCCACACAGCTTCAATAAAACCCAGAGCTGAGCCTCTTAAATACTGGTCCTTTATGTGCTTCTTTGACAGTTATTACGCACCCCAGTGATGTATCCAGAGAGAAACACAAAGCCAAACTTCACTGCCCAGCAGTGATTAGGCAGAACAGCCTCGATGGCATCCAGCTCGGGTCAGCTTACGGCTGCTGCACCCAGGACCAGGCTGCAGGTGGGTCTCTGGGTGCACCAAGGCAGGGCCCCTGCGTCTGCTGCTCGGTACGGAACACGCAGCCCCTCACAGGTGCCCAAGCGGATGCCGAGTGACCATCACAGTGAAGCACCATGCAAGGTCCTGCTCAGGTCATTTAAATTATTATTAATTAAGTCATTATTAATCCACTCGTAGCTATCACCTGACAGCAGCAAGAGCAGCCTCCGTGGGCTGCGCAGCCCCGGCGTGCCCACGGACAAGGGTAGGGGTACACCCGGCCATCACCAGAGCCCGAGGCTCCGGTGATTCCTCCTAGGAGTCCCCGAGCTCAAAAAAAAACCCCAAAACCTTTGTAAACTGGGGCATGACCCACCCCCAGGAGGAAACCCTGACAAAGCAGCAAGCTCCCAGCTCCCCTGGTCGGTGGGTTTCTGCCTCCTGCCCTGCCCACTGAGCTCATCATGGGGGGCGAAGAGGCAGCCAAGCCCTCAGCCCCTCCGTGCGGGGCTCCGTGCGGAGTGGGGGGGCCATTCCCTCCCAGAGCAGCACCCAAACCAGCCGCACAGCCTCCCTGCCAGAGCAGCAAGGGGGGACCAAACAACCTCCCCAGCCGCACAAGCCCTGATGCAGTCACCATCCAAGCACGGCCGGTCCACAGAAACGTTGGTCACATTTCAGTAGGGGCTCTGGGCATGCAGGGGGGTTGTCCTGGGGAGCCCCAGCCCTCTCCTGTAGTATCTCGCCTGGCTACAAGATGGCAGTAAAGCCCATGGCACGGCAGCAGCTCACCCAAAGCCACCTTGGGCATCTGATCCTGGAGAAACAAAAGACAAAACCTGCTTCTGCTGGTGCCTGCAGGCCCACCCCAGCCCCCGAGCACCCCCTGCTTCTGCTTTACACCTTGGGTGACCCCCTCCCCTTCTGCCAGGAGCAACCTGGAGCACCCAAGGGCAGCGAAACTTCTACCAGGGACCACATCCATCTCCACGCTCGCATCCCTGCGGAGAGCAGGTCACAGCGCAGGTCACAGCGCAGGTCACACGCAGGCACAGCACCGCAGAGGAAAATAAGGATTTCTCTAGAGAACCAGCTTGTGAACTTCAGAGCTCTGCCAGTCGAGTAAAGCAGGGACACCCCCCTCCCCAGTCATGCCCACTCCCTCTTTGCGGGCCTTCAGCACACCAAGTTCAAAAAAAAAAAAAAAAAACCCACAGGAAGAGCACAGTCGGGTTGTCCAGCCGCAGAAAAACCGGCACAAGAGCTGTGGGAAGGAGACCTCTCCCACACAGCAGCGCAGCCCCCGGCCTTGGTCCCAGCAGAGGCGACGGCCGTGCCCCACGCCGTACCCCGGGACACGAGGAGCAGAGCACGGCCCAAGCTGGCGCAGCGAGGGGCCGAGAAAAACATCTGAAGCCAATTAAACAGCTCGAGAACCCGGCCCTGCCGCGGTGTTGCTCTAACAACAGGCTCTCTGGGAACATGGCGCCATTCCCCCCCCGCCCCCCCGGGTTACTTTGTGCTGCAGATCCCACTACGGAAAACAATTTTGCGGAAACAAATCCCCGCTACGGGATCTGCTCCCCGCTGCGTCTCCCGGAGGGGAGTTCCAGGGATTGCGTTTTGGTGTATTTGACGGGGTGCCAGCGTGGGGGGAGCCTCAGGCCCCCTCACACCTCTCGAAGCACAGAGCTCCTCACGCCCAGCTCGGAGGTGTCGGGCCCCGGCAGAGGACGCGCTCATGAAGATCAGGTGCTTCTATTTACACTCCCAGCAGAAGAGTAAACCCACCATCCCAGGAATTCACTGCTCCAGGGGTGGAAGGGAAGGATTCATCTGCAAAACAGCACCAAGCAAGCCTCCAAAGCTGCAAGGGTTAAGTGCCAAAAAAAAAAAAAAAATACAAGGCTTTAAAAAGCTTTGGAGACTTCTCTCTTCTAGCTTCAGCACATGCAGCACTACACAAGCTGCCCTCCTCCCTCTCGTTCAGTATTCTGAACACTAACATAGGGCTGGGGACCCCAAGGGCTCCTTCTCCTCACCCCCCAACTCTCCCGTTCTGGGGGGTCACCCAGCCCCAGGGACTGCTCAGCTGTAGGAGTGGCACAAGCCTTCATCCCTCACAGCCAGAGAGCTCACCAAGCCAGGCTGCGACGCTGCGCAGACACCGGCCTAAGGCTCCACTGATCCTAGCAACAAGACTTCAGGTACCGAAGTCACATTTTTACACTCAAAAGGGAGCTGAAGCTGGCAGCAGCTGCAAGCTGCACTGCTCAGCATTTCACTTGTTACTTTCCAGCTAACACACACCTCAAAGTAGCCCATGAAACACTGAGCAGGGATGCAGCCATCCTAATTACCAGTAGAAATGGATAACCTGCTGATTATCTCACTGAAAGCAGGCTTTTACAGGATTGCTAGGTTATTTCAAGTCCTGGTGGATCACAGCCACGAGTCCCAGTCAAGCAAAGAATGACCAACGCCTTTCCGTACCTGCAGCTTTAATGTTTGGGGCAGTTCCAGAGTCATCTCTTCAGAGTGCAAGTCTTAAACAGCTTAAACCAGCAATAAAAAGTAAAATATAAATTTTTATTTAGAATTAAAGCAAATACTTCAGTATCACAAACACAATATTAAACTTCAAGAAATATACTGCTAATTTGGAGGGAGCATTTATTTGCACAACCACAACATGCGCACAAATCCAGAAAAAGATGCGGAGTCTGAAATTTTCAACATCTCACCACCAGAGCAGTTGGTCACAATGTTTCATACAGAGTTATATGTACTGTAATAGATGTTGACAAAATTTCTACAGAATCATCTTTATAGACAACAAGAAAGCTCTAAGAGGCAAACATTGCGATCTATTCTTCTTCTGATGAGTCTCTCTCAAACGTGTAGGCCATGAAGCAAGCATCTGGTCTCTTGGGGACAAGGGGATGCCCTGGTCTCACAATCTCAAAGCCCAAAAAGCTGAAAGTACGGAGCAATGCAGCTGGAAAATAAAGCAGAAAACAAGTTTAATCCATTTGATACAGTACAACGATTAAAGCATCCACCAAAAGCAGCTTTAAATACTGCACTCGCATCTCTAGAGACGGTGCTGTGAGTTCATACCTACCTCTATCATCTCTGTTCTTGTGGAAACAAATGAACACATGATCAACTCGAAGCTGTTCTTCAGCAAACTCTAGAAGAACTGCAAAACTGCAAGACAAATATGAGGCATTCAATGGACACGAGCAAGTATTTCCTTCCGAGACAGCACGGCCTGTGAGCCAATCTGCACATGAACCCACAGGCACAAGAGGCCAGCGGTTGGACACTCGGCAACAGGAGATCCCAGAGCCCGAGGTTTAACCTGAGGCAGAAGTCTAGGCCCTCGGTGACGCAGAAAACATGAGTTTCCTGTTGCAGCTGAAAGGAGATCTGCAGTGACAGACTCAGAACCAGGCTGGTGTTTTCAGTGGATAAAAGCAGCCACCCAGTACCTGGGAGCAGCCTGAAGTCACCCACATTTTGGGTTGGTTTTGCCTGACAAAAACAGGTACGAGCAGCCCTCAAACCCCAATCACATAGTTGCAGCCTCTTACGGGAGAGCATCAAGCACCGTAATTAGACTTGAACTTTCAGACCAGTGGAAGCAAACACCAACAACCGTAAAGCGTTATTCCTCCCTACTGTCAGGCCTTCAATAGAGGCAAGTGAAACCACAGCTGCATTTTCATCTACCCACCTGTCTTTGCTCCCTTCAGGCAGAGCACCACTGGGAATTTCTATATAGAGGTTGTTGTTGTTCAGCACTGCTCTCCAACTAATCTGTTTGGCATCTGTAAGCCGTGACTGGACATTCAAAATTCTTGTCCTGTTATTAGATGTTAGTTCTTCTGTTACATTCAGCCGATTATCCTGTAGCAGTAATATGGGCAAAGTTATTTCCAATTCATTTTGGAGAAAGAATAATTCCCATCAATAGGCTCGAGGCAAGAAACGCATCCAAGCTCACCACAGCAAGCTGCTTATTATTCATACTCACCGAATAAAATAAATTAGCTGAAAGATTGTGATCCCTCTGACTATTCCCTCGCCCACCTGGGATCTTCAGGGGTGGGTGAGGGACATCAGGAGCACCACCGAGGCCCCGGACCCAGGTTACTACAGCAATTGAAGGGAACCCTGGAACTAGAAAGGGATCACAGTTAGAGGCAAGCAATCTTAGACAAAGCCCTGCAAATTCTAGGTTTTTAAACAGTGATCAGATGGCAAGATTTAAACAAAACCCAAAAGCACGGCCAAAGGAACTCCCCTCCCACTGCAACCTGAGCAAGTGACAAGACAAAGGACCCTCCCGAGCAGGGACAGGCACACCTGCCTCACTCCCAGACCCATGAGGGTCAGAAAGCTGCTCCTGCAGTATTCTGAGGGAAGGACTAAGTTGGAGATGAAAATCCTCTCAGCTTGAAGCAAGGTAGGTGTATTTCCATACCAAGGCAGCAGTTTGCCTGACCTGATCTCAAGAGAAGAACCATTTCACTATCACACATGCAAGATCCCATTTTCTCCCCTTGTTCTCATGAGTTTGCACAAGTATTCTGGCCCAGCAAGCTAGGGATCATTTTTCCCCGTGATATATGGCCCTAATTACCTTCGACCTTTGCAACAGCACTCTTGGCTTGAGGTCAGAAAATTACACGAAGTAGTCTCACAGATGCCACTGCCCCGAGTGTATTCCCCATGCTCAGAAGCAAACTCACCAGTTTTAACTTTGAGCCCACACCTGAGTATTTGAAAAACTACAAGCCTTTCTACTGAATTCTTCAAAGCAATTTTACACCGCTCAGCAAAGTTCAGTGCTCCAGGTTAAGAACGTTATCCTCTTTTAAGGTATGAAACATCTTTCTCGTACACACGCTAAGTTTCACCCCATCCGTATAAGCCTGCTTAACCGAATAAGCCTTCTACTGTACTAAGAGCAAACGCTGTGCTGCTGGCCCCTCCCTCTGCACCATCCTTCACCCTGCAGGCTCACTCTTGAGTTGCGTCATCTCAGCAGATGCAGCAATCGAGGCCCTTAGGGAAATTTTCACAATCGTCCTGTCTGTGAGTGCCAGCAGCCATTTGCAAATCAGAATAAACATGTACAAAATAATCCACCATTTTGCACAGTTCGGATGAGTTTGATTTTTTTTTTTATTATTTTTTTTTAAGTGAGCTTGAAACTTGTGATGAATGATCTGTATGAGAAAGGCACCGAATGGCCATATAAACCAAATATCGTATGCTGGAAAGCATTAGTAAGCACAGCGACTGCAAAGTTTTATTAAGAAAATTAAAATTTGTGCTCTCAATTAAACGAGTGTTCAATCCATTATTTTAGGGTCTTTAAGAGAGAGACACTTTTCTTTAGTACTAGCATTAGGTACTTACTTTACCTCAGAATGATTGCAGAGCTACGCATTCCTGATCACCCTTACAAATAAGCTTTTAAGCACCCTGTTCAGAAGTGGGCAAGGGCAATCCTTTACACAATTTCACCTCTTGCCCCATGAAAGGCAGCGCATAATGAACATTGCCTACACTCCGCAATCAAGTCTTTCAGAGCAATGTTTATGTGCACTTACTCCTCTTGGAAAAAAACAATCTTTGACCAGCAGTCAAGCACAAAAATGACCGTCTAAAAAAATTTCATAGTGTACATACGAGGTCTAACCATGGCTTCCTTCATGCAAGGCAGACTGATGTCTTAAATATCCATCACTACACCGGTCACCAAAATTCGGTTTATTCTGTTGTCAGCATCTATTAGGATTGTTTAATCTTTTGGTTGAGTTTTAAATTAAGAGTTCTCCTAACACTCACGTTCTAATTTAGGCTCAGTACCCTCGATTAGTTTTCAAGAATACCTACGATTACACAAGGAGATAAGAGCTTGCAATCCTTTGATGTCTTTGCCTAATTGTTGGGTTTTTTCCCCTCCGTAGGAGGAAGGCATCTCCAGGCCCTGCCTCCAGCCCGGCTTTTCTCTCTGGGCACCTTTCAGGCCGCTCACTTGCTCGGGCACAGCTCACGGAGCAGCCGCCTCCCGTCAGGGGCCGGTGGGTGCTGTTCGAGGCTTCCTCCCACGGTTATGACAACTGCGGAGCTGCGATGGGAGCTCGCCCTGCAGACGGACGGCAGCTAACGTGGCACCCGGCGGGAGGCACCGGCTGCGTGAGGTGACTCAGGGGGCGGCGGCC